AAAGGCAACCTCACCCACCCCCTGCACTGAGGCAGGATCCGGCAGACCACGACTGCCCTGGACAGGCTCTGCCAAACCTGCTCTAAGGAGCTTCCCACACAGGGATCTCCTATAGGAATCTCGCTCCCTCCCTGCACGGCCCAGACAGGTGTTTCATCTCCCTCAGGGTTAGAAACCTTTTCTTGTTATCCAACCTCAATCTTTTGTGCATGTACATTAAACCGATTTCTTCTCATCCATGTCCCCATGGATATGGTGGGGACTGATCAGCATCCTCTTCACGAGGACCTGCTGAGTTAGCTCATTATCTCCCTTTGGACATGCTTGATTTTTTTTTTAGACTAAACGTTAGTCCCCTCCACCTTCCTTTGTTGAGGGTCACTCACTACTGCCTTGAAGAGCACTTGGGAGACTGGAGCTTTGCAAGAGCTCCTGACATGACAATACCATGAGTCTGTCAGAGGGTTTCACAGCATTACTAAAATGGAGACAGTGATGGTGGCAAAGGCTGGGAGGGGAGCACGAGCTACTCGGGCTCCGTGGAGCTGTTTGACAGTTCTCCTCCTCTCATCTGGAAGCTTTACAACACTGGCTGTCCGTGCCATAACAGTCCCCAAGTCTGGGCTCTCAGGGCCCAAAGGAGATGGACCCCAGTACCTGCATGCAGGGGAAAGGGGAGAGGACACCTATATGTTGCTCCCAGCTCCTTGCTGAGCCTGTTACTGGGGCTGATGCCTTGTGTTCCTGGGCCAGAACCACCCTGCGGCCTCCTCACCTGGGCCACGTCCTCGTGTTTGTTCCACTTAGTGATGATCAGGAGCTTCGCCAAGGCCTCTGGGTACTGGTCCCGGATGTGGTACCTCATCTTCCACATCAAATCCTTCTCATGTTCATAGAGCTCAGTGTGGCTCCTTCGCTCCAGGATCTCCTTCAGCTGCTGCTTCTGCCAGGAGAAAGCACATTCAGGGCTCAGTCTGAATCAAAAGGGGCCTGCCCCATTGTTCCATGCACCAGGAGAAGCTGCAAAGGCTGGGGCCAGAATAGGCCATAAAGCTACACAGCCCAGGTGGAGGAAGAAGCTGGGACGGGCATGGGACTAAGTTGCTATATAGGGCTGACCCCAGGGAAACCAGAAAAGGTCAGGCCATGCTCACGTGGGAGGCCTCTCCTAGAAGTTATCATCCATGTGTCAGGCACTTACCTCCTCTGGATCGTCGAGTGTGGCACGGCTGTGTTCTCCGTTCCTCCCCAGATCCAGCAGCTGGAACACAGGCACGGGCTGAGTGAAACGTCTACCCCCTGGCCTGCACAGCCCACTCCCACTCTCAGCAGCTGCTCTTTGTTAAGGCCCAGTTCTTTCCTAGCCCATGAGCACAGAACTGCCCTGTGGACCCCCACGCTCCAGAGCCAGGCATGATAAACCCTGCATTTCTCCTTTTCCTAGTGGCGGTGCGTGCCCCGGCAGAGTTAAACTGGAAGGGGTGCCAGCCTGCTCAGCCATAAGGCAAGCCAAGGGAAAGAATCCATCAAGGATGACAGAGACAGTCACAGATTCATAGAAAATGATGGTTGGAAGGGACCTCAGGAGGTCATCTAGTCCATCCCCCTGCTCCATGCAGGACCATCTCCAACTAGATCATCCCAGCCAAGGCTTTGTCTGGCCAGGTCTTAAACCTCTTAAGATGGAGAGTCCACAGCCTCCCTGGGTAACCTGTCCCAGTGCTTTACTACCTTCCTCATGAGAAAGTTCTTCCTAATATCTAACCTACACTTCCCTTGCTGCAACTTGAGCCCATTGCTCCTTGTTCTGTCATCTGCCACCACTGAGAACAGCCCAGCTTCATCCTCTTTGGGATCCCCCTTCAGGGAGTTGAAGGCTGCTATTAAATCCCTTCTCAGTCTTCTCTAACCTAAATAAACCCAGTTCCCTCAGCCTCTCCTCATCAGTCACATGCCCCAGCCCCCTAACTATTTTCATTTCCTTCTGCTGCACTCTCTCCAATTTGTCCACATCATCCTGTAGTAGGGGGTCCAAATCTGGACACAGCACTCCAGATGTGGCCTCACCAGTGTTGAATAAGAAGGGAAGAGTCACTTCCCTTGATCTGCTGGCAACAATCCTACCAACGCAGCCCAGGATGCTATTAGCCTTCTTGGCAACAAGGGGAAACTGCAGGCTCATATTCAGCTTATTGTCCACCGTAACCCGCAGGTCCTTTTCTGCAGAGCTGCTGCTTAGTCAAGCAGCCCCCAGTCTGCACCAGTGCATGGGACTGTTCTGTCCTGTGTGCAGGACTTTGCAGTTCTAAGATGCAGGAACCCATGAAGGATGGCAGAGATGCAGAAATCAGTAAGGATCAGCAAGGTTCAGGACAACAGAAACCAGCATCCCTTCACTCAGGGGGCACAATGATCAAGCACTGATGTCTGGCAAATGGCAATGCCAAAGCTGCCATAAACGGGGGCACAGCCCCTCTCCTCAGCTGCCACAGGGTGACTGCTGCCAGAGACTGGTGCGGGGAAGCTCTCAGTTCCTTTCTCAGTGCTAGGACTAAACTAAGCAGCTTGAGGGTGACAGAGGCCCACTGTACCATAACCTTCTTTCTAGCTGGTTCCTTGTTTGAGCTAGGTAAAGACCCAAATTCAAATTTCTTCTGCTGTGGCTGGAGCAGGGGTTGAAATGCAAGATGCAAGGCATAACCTAAGCATGGGCAGTCCCTCACAGTAACACAGAGCCAGTAACTCCGTTCCCTGACCTGGAGAGGCAGGAGCGGTTCCCAGGAATACGGCAGCCTGAGACCTGGTCTGCCCCGTGTGCTCAAATGGGAAAATAGGAGAGGCCAATGAGCAGGAGGAGGACAGGGATGCCCTCATCTTCTGCTTTACATTACAGAGGCATTGGCAAAAGAGGGACGTGCTGCAGGAGCCCAGAGACTGGAACCCAGGATGGATGTAAGAAAGGCAAGAGCACAAGGGAATGGGCAACCCAGGGCAGAACTGAAGTGGACACCATCTTCCCACCCCCATAAATCTTACTTTTCTTGCCCCTCCACAGCACATGCTGAAGGGATGGTTGGCTCAGCTGATAGCATGGTGGAAAGGGTGTTGCCTAATGAAAGGGGAGCTGTGGTTCAAGTTTCCAGTCACTGAATGACTTGGCTCCCCCAGTTCCTCACCAAGTTACTCCCCATCCCCCTTCAGGTGCTCACCCAGCAAATGGGCGACCCAGGCCCCCTCCAACTCAGTCTGAAGGGAGTTTAACAACTCCTTGCAGGGTGTGAGACCTGGGACAGGTGAGGACCATGGGCTTAAATAAATAAGCCTGCAGGGATCCCAGCAGCCGCCAGATCAGAGCCCAGGATTCCCATCTGCAGTGCAAATGCCCAAGCCCCAGCAACAAGCAGCTCAGAACCCACATCTCCACTGTGAAGGGCAGATGCCCAAGTCCTTAGACTACCAGGCCAGAGCCCTAGTGGCCACTCCTACTAACAGGGACAAGAGGAACAAGACCTCTCTAGGCTGGCGAAGCAGAGCCAGTCCCCTGGCACAGGTCAGCCTGAGGCCCTGCTTGTCCTGCCTGCTCTAAGAGAGGCAGAGGAAAGGATCTGAATTGAGGTCTTTGCATTTCCCAAGCATGAAACTAGCCAGCCAGCCTGTGGAAGCCAAACTCCTTTCGGGAAGAGAAACACAGCCCATTTCCCCCCCTGCCATGCCAAATGCACCAGGCTGGAGGTAGCCCCAGACTCGCCCCACCCTAGCGCAGTGACTCTGCTGCACCAACTCGAGGGCCACGTACCTGTTCATAGGCTGGGTAGTGCACCGGATGGACCGAGACATTGGGAAAGCAGATAACCAAGGCGGCTGCACTCTCTGTGTTTGGGTTGCTCTGGACTGTGCCCATGGGGTTCAACAGCTCCCCTTTCTCATCTGAAAAGGAGGACAGGCAGACATCATGAGGCTGGGTTCCCCAGTGTAGTGAAGGGGTCAGCAGGAGAAGCAGCGTGGTTCTGATTCTAGCTCTGCCAGCGACCTATTCTCTGGCCTTGGGCACATCACTTCACTTGCATGCGTCTCATTTCCCACTCCATCTTTGACCTGTCCTATATGCTTCAACTGTGAGCTCTCTGGGACACTGGCTGTATCCTACCAGGAGCATATAGCTCTGAGCTGATCCTGATGGGGCGTCTATGTGGCACTGCAATATCAATACCTAATAACAGAGCCACACCTCCGGTAGACAGATATTAAACTGAAATAGCTCAGTACTTCTGCTGCCCTTCTTACCATCCTCTGGACACTAACACACAAGGCAGGCTGTTGTCTCTCCTTGTACTTCCACCCCACCTGAACAACAGAAAGCTCCAGCTCGTGATGTACCTGGGAACGATGACCACATATGCAGGCAGCATTCTCCTGCTTTCAGCTGGTCCTTGTAGTCAAAAAGCATGACATTCACCCAAGCTATTGGGCAGTCCTGCAGAAGGAACAAAAGGTTGGTCAAGATGTAATTGTTCCAGGAGCCAGCTGCTGGAGGGAGGAGGGTTAGCAAGGAAGTACAAACACAAGCACCATAAAATATCAAAAAATTAGAGCCCTATGATCTCCCCCTTGCTCCGTCTAGAAACCACCATGACCTGGTAAACTTCCATTTTTCATAGATTGTAGAGTCGGAAGGGACCACAATGGATCATCGTGTCCGACCCCCTGCCCCTGGCAGGAAAGAGGACCGAGGTCAGATGACCCCAGCCAGGTGACTATCTAGCCTCCTCTTGAAGACCTCCAAGCTAGGTGATAGCACCACCTCTCTTGGAAGCCCATTCCAGATCCTGGCCACCCTTACCGTGAAACATTTCTTCCTAATATCTAACCTAAATCCACTCTCAACTAGTTTACACCCGTTATTCCTAGTCACTCCCTGGGGCGCCTTAGTAAACAGCGCTTCCCCTATTCCCCGTAGACCTACCCTAATAAATTTATAGGCGGCCACAAGTTCTCCCCTCAGCCGTCTCTTGTGAAGGCTGAAGAGATTCAGCTCTCCCAACCTCCCCCCCTAGGGTCCGTCACAAACGCCACTAATCATGCGAGTGGCCCTCCTCTCGACCCTCTCCAGATTCCCTGCGTCCCTCTTGAAGTGCGGTGCCCAAAACTGGACACCGTACTCCAACTGCAGCCTGACCAGTGCCGCATAGAGGGGGAGCATCGCCTCCTTTGATCTATTAGTCAGGCACCTGCTAATGCACGACAAGGTGCGATTGGCCTTGTTGATGGCCTCGTTACACTGCCGGCTCATGTTCATCTGGGAGTCAATTATGACTCCAAGATCCCTCTCTGCCTCCGAGCTGCTGAGAAGGACACTCCCCAACCTATAGGTGTGCTGGGGGTTCCTCCTTCCCAGGTGGAGTACCTTACATTTATGTTTATTAAATTGCATCCTATTTCTCTCTGCCCGTTGATCCAACCTGTCCAGGTCAGCCTGAATCTGCTCCCTGCCCTCCGGTGTACTAACTCTGCCCCATAACTTGGTATCATCAGCGAACTTGGAGAGGGTGCTCTCCACGCCCTCGTCCACATCGCTGATGAAGATATTGAATAATATCGGTCTGAGGACCAAAACCTTCGGGACCCCACTGCCCACCTCCCTCCAGGCCGAGAAGGACCCATCCACCACCACTCTCTGGGTGCAGTCCCTATACTCTATTCTATGATGTCTATTTGTAGAATATAGACACCACTTCGCCCACCACCGGAGTGCAACTGTTTCTGGGGTGGAACCAGCAGAAGAAGAGCACTGTGCCTAACAAACTGCACTGGGAGGAAGGGAGGGAGGCAGAATGTAGTTCAGGAAGTTGGAAGTTGACCAGGCAAAAAGGACTGGCATTGCTATCTTTGAGAAAAGTCCCAGGAGATGCAGCTCACAAGCAGCAGGGACTTCAGAGAGAGTTATCATCCAGAAGCATGTCTCCTCCTAGCATTGCCTGAAGTATTGGTTCGGTATAGCTAAAACCAGACAGTCATCCACAGAACACCGGCCCTGATGCTGCATAGTACTATCAAAAACAAAGCATCACCACATGCCTGGTCCTTCAATGCTTGATAACAAGCATGCTTGGAGAACCTCTAGATTTCCAGAAAGACCTCTCAACCCTGGATCCTTCACTAAAATGTAAATCCTTGGCAGCAACCCAAGTATTTTATGTATTTCCAGACCTCCTGCTAAGCTATGTTAGTATGGGAAACGGTCCAGCCATAACGGACTCAGAAACCTGGATCTGGAGATAAAGTCAGGTACATCAGATCAATGGGGAAATTTTTATTATTTAGTAAGTACGCTGTTGGTAGCTTTAGTATAACAAGGGCTTTTCTTCCACAGAGCAAAAAAAAAAAAAAATTTTATAAATGGAGCAGGCCGAAATAATACAATCTAACACACAAGACCATCCTCCCCTACTGCAGTTACACTAATGACATGATTTTGCTCATTCAGGTTTTCAGCAACATAGTTTGGCCAGCATCACGGTTCCAGCAGCACCGGCACTATTGCAGCATTTGGCCTGCTCAGTCAGAAAGCAAGTTAACACAGAAGCTGACTTCCCAAGATGGCGAGAGGGGGCAGAGATCTAGGAGATGAAGTTATCAGTATGGTCAGGACTGACCACTTGAGTGAGAACGTGCGCGCGCGCGCACACACACACACACACACACACACACGGGGGATCAGAATTGAAAGAAGCCACAAAAAGACCTTCACTATCCTTCCACCGTGATGTCCTGAAGAAAACATTAAGGTTTCCCTGGAAGACATGGACAGGGATTTCATTTGCGGGGGAGGTAGGAACATCTGCTCTTTTCCTCGCATAGCACACATGAATCACTTCTGACCGACTTGTTGCAAGCCCCAGCCCACACCACTGACCTAATTGGACTCTAAGTATCTCCAGCATGATCCCATTTGCTGTGATAGCTTCCGGACTCTGATGAGGAGCCAAACACAATGACAAAACCCTTCCTATCAAACCAAAACACAGTGTGGAGGCTGCAAAATAGCAAAGCAAGGTATTCAGTGGAGAAGGGCCAGAAAATGATGATGACTCAGCATCTTCTAAGTAAGGACAAAGATACTTTTCACGTGATTCAGAGGCAATGAAACAAACCAGAGGGGCACTAACCGTATCACTCATTCTTGTAAATGTCCATGATCAATGCTTCTGAGTAGCAAATGATTCAGTCCCATATTTCTGCCTCCAGACAGTGCAGTCAGAGCTATCCAGGTAGTTCCTGTAATACTGTAACTTCATAACTGCACTGAGATGAATGATCAACAAGCAAGAAGCCAACGAGGAACTGTGCAAAGCATCAGGACATAAGGCGGGGACTTACAAATCATAAGGAAACTGGACATCTAATTCACACCGATTTTTCAATGAGTTTTGAGTACTTCCTTAGATGTCTTTAAAAATCTCAGCCTGAAAACACACAGGTAAGCAAACTGTGCAAAGCTCAGCTCAAGCCAACACTATAGATCTTGCAGTGGAAATCAGCCTTTCCTGCTTTTCATAGCAACAAGACAGGCACATGGGCAAGATGGTCCCAAAGTCAGGCAAACAGCCTGGTTCTGTTGTCTAATTGCCGTGGAGGTGAATGGCACTCCTGAGTGACCACAGACACTCAACATTGAAAGGATTCATGGGTATCATTAATTGCACAATAGCCTCTAAAGGATTCAGTTAGAGGCAAGAGACCCATGTCAGGCATTGTTCACTGACATAAAAACGCTGTCCCTGCTTTGACACACAAGAGTCTCCAATCTCCAGCCTGTAAGCTAACCCACACACCTGTGGCCTAGAGGAAACTCCACTGGCGCTGAGCTCTGCTCCCATGGACTTCCATCAAAGCCAATACTGCTCTGCACAAGCATCCCAGTCCCACCAGTGGAACGAAGGTGCCTGCAGATCTTATCATCTAACAGCCTCAGTCCTTCCCCTGGTTTTTTGCACCCTGGTAAATGTGGCCAACGCATCCTCTCCTTCAGCTGTTCTCAGCTTCTGCGCAATGGCAGTGGTTTTGGGGGAACTGAAAAACTTTTCTTTCATTTTTTTTTAAATGGAATCTAAGCAATCACACAGAAAAAAAACCCAGGTTTTTTGTTCCTCTGTGGCCATGAAGTAATCCTTCAAATGCCACACCCTGGGGGGATTATATTTACTGAATAATCAGCACCAAGAAAGGCACACCAAGCATTCACAGATGATAGTCAAGGATATTCATTTTTACAGGAAGTATTGTGTCCTTGGGCACCAGCTGACCAGCGTTTGGTCCCATATGGCACAACAGCCTTGAGCAGTCTTCTTCTTTGGGACATATTTGGTGAAACATGATGTCCCTCTTGTCTTCTCTCTGCCCAGGGTTTGCACAAACCCCCTTCACTGTTGCAGAGAAGAGGCACCATGTGACAAGTTTTAACCTCAGTGGCAAGCCCTGGAAGGCTGAGAAGGGGAAAATGAGTGGAAATCACTCCTCTTTTTTTGCAGGTAAATTCACACTTACTTCCTAAATTCACCCTGGCTGGCGCAGGGAGGGCAGAACACCCCATCTCCTGCAGAAGTCACATTACAACAGCTCTTTCCATACTGGCTGAAGCTTTTCCCTCTTCGAAAGGCAAGAGCCCTGAGCATTTCGCTTAGGGCAGCTTTTTTTCTCTGCCCTGATGAGACAGGCCCAGTGCCAGCCCACACTCACCGCTTTCTTGGACTTCTTCTTGGTGGAACGTGCCTTCTTGGCCTTCTCGATGACAGCGTAGAGGGCGAAGCAGAGCCGGGCCATGCGCGGCAGGTCACAGATGTTAATATCGAAGTCCAGCCGCTGCTTCCACACTGGCTCTGAACACACGTTCACCTCAGAGCTCGACACCATCTTGCAGAGCATCTCATTGCCATGGAAGAGGCCTGCCTGCACCACCAGCTGAGAACGGGAGAGAAGAGAGCACAGGGGTCAGTGCTGACCTCATCTGACGGGGGTGATGAGAATGGGCCTGGGAGAGAAAAGAAGCACTCCTGGGCTCTAGGCCTGTCTTTTGCCACTTTCATTTCCTTCTTCATGTCCGTGGGACAAAGCATTTACCAGAATTCACCAGTTTGTTGGCATCTGACAGACTGCGCTGTAAGCACTTCTGCTACGACCTCAAACTTATGACCTCTGGGCAACTGTCAACCATGCACCCTAGTGTCCATGCCACCCCAGCCCCCAGCCCTTGCTACTGACGCACCCTCAGACCTTGATCAAGACCCTTAACTTCTCAGTGCACTCATCACAGAGACATCGCTTCCTTGATCCCACCAGTGGGTGTGCATCAGGGACTCTATTCTGTGCTCTGTTCACAGAGGAGACAAGTCTGCTGCAGCCCCAGTAGGTGAGCCCATCTCTCTCAAGCTAGAGACACACGAAGCTCTGGAAGTCCCTGGTGTGTCAGCCAACATGGTCTCAGTTCCTTTGGTGCTGGGCTACATCAGGAAGCCCAGTGGGCAGAGACAATTTAGCACACCGTAACCACTGAGAGACAAGAAGGGTCCAGGAAAGGAACTGGGCCACACACCACAGGGAAGCCGATCATCAAGAACTTGGCAGGGGATAGGCTACGAGGGAAGCAAATGAATAGTGTGTGCTGAGGGGGATGGAAGGTGGGACCAGCCTGGCTCCAGCACAAGTCCCATAGCACAGCCACCGGTAAAATACATTTGCATACAAAAATATGTTTCTGCAATCTACAAGGTCTCTGCAAGCCTCTGCCCATGCCCATCACAGTGCAGGGATGGTGCTGCCTCCCTCCTGGTCTGTGTTAACCCAGGATCTAAAAATTGCCGCCAGTCCAGGTCCCCTGCCCACACTGGAAGCTGCTCACAGGGGAGTTGGACCAAAGGGTTTAACAAGATCAGAGCCCCAACAGATCAAAACGTCCACATATGGCACAGGCAGTGCATTCTCCATCTTCTCTGTCTCAGTTTTCCCTTCTCGCTTGCTTGCCCCATGTTATGGACAAACCATTCACCTCCCAGAGCCCATCCTTTTTCCATTCCCCTCCAGTCCCTTGCTTCCAGGCTCACCTCCTCACCCTCCACCCTCTTCTCTGGTAAAGCCCTCTTTCTCTTCCTCTGCTCTTGCTGGTCTCCAGTACTTCTGCATATGCACCAAGCAAGGTCACCACAGGCCAAGCGGCTGAGCTCACTACTCAGAAACCTGCAGCAGGAGTTTCTAAGAATGTGCTGCTTGCTCAGGGAGCTGTTGGCTAGCTACTTCCCTCCCCCTTCCTGTTGTGCAGCATTTTAGAGGCAGCCCCAGAGCTGAATGAAGGCCAATGTGGTGAGAACATGTGACCTCAGGTTTTGGATCCCTGCTTTCTTTAACGCATACAATAAACAACAAAACCCCCCACAAACCCAGCCTGCGCATACCTTCATCCTCTCATCAGCGTTGACCTTACTGCCTTGCACCAGATCAATATAAAAGGGCTGCTCAAGGGACCACAGAGACCCACTGTTTGGCTAGAGAGAAGGGAAATAACAGAGCCTAAGTCAGAAAATGAACTGGGAGGAAGATCAGCCTGCACGGAGGCAAGCAGGGGTCCTGCAACATAGCAGTAGTGCTTCCTCCCAGCCCTCCACTGAGTTATTCCCCTTGCACTGGGTGTTTGTGGGGGTACAACATTTACGCTACACATACAGATTGCCCAGGGAGTGGATGCCTCTCTCACTGTAGTGACAGTATTTAGTCTTCATCCAGGCATTTCAGATCTATATTTTCCTGTAACGAGCCAAGGCCCATAGAGACTACATGATTTGCCCAGGGTCACCTGGCTGGTCAGTAGCAGAGTCAGGAATAGACTGCATCTTTCCTGGGTCCCAGCTTAGTGGTCTATCCACTAGGCCACACATTGGCCAGGGGGCACAGTTCCTGCTCATGCCAGGGCTAAATTTGGCTCAGCAAAAGTAAATTATTTGTCCAAACCCAAACTGAGACACAGGCTAGGAGCTGGGATGAGAACTGAGATGCTCCAGGCTCCCAGTCCTGTGCTCAGACCTCATGCTTTTGGAAACCAGGGGCCTTCCACATTACAGGTTTCTTTGATGTCTGAATGAAACATGACTTGCAGTACTGCCTTGTGCAGTAATTGAGGAAGGTCTCAGTGTTGCTGCAGATGTGGAGAAAGCTGTCCACCTGCTTGCTAGGCAGATGACACTAGCATCTCAGTCAGCACCATTGTGGGGAAAGGAGGGAAAGGACAAAAGGGCATGCTAGGGGGCAGGACTGTGGGGAAGAAGGATATCAAGAGCCTCTACCTTTTTCTTGGGCAGTGGGGGAGGCTTGGCACCCATCTTTGGGGGATGGGCGATGCAGTTGGTCTGCTCATCTCGCATGGCAATGATGGTGGAGAAGCGCACCATCGTCAGGTGGGGCATCAGGCCCTGGTGCAGGCAGCTGCGGATGTACTGGTGGAAGAAGGAGCAGAGAGAACAGAATAATCTGTGAACGGAAACAGCCTGGAAGCCAAGGGGATGTGGAGTGGGCAGTGCTGGGGGGAAGCAGGCCTGGCTCGAGCAGGGAGGGAGAAGGAGAAGGCAGTGTGAACATGACCCTGCAGCCCCCAAAGTTAGTTACTTCTGACAATTCCTCTATAAACTTGCCTCTTTCCTGGGAGACGTGTCTGACACAATGAACCCTGGAGACTTGAGCTTGGACAAAGCTCCAAGAGTGCATGGCTCAGGCACCTGAAGGCTTCCCTGACATAAGGGAAAGCCTAATGTTCCAGACAGCAGAGAAGCCAATCAAAGCTAAGGGCACACACTGGAGGATGCTACATGTGACTTCTTCAGCAGCGGGGGTACTGCTATGTTGCCAGCTTAAAGGCAGAGCTCTCTCCCCCAAAAGACTAATACTGTGGCAGGCCACATCCCAATAGAGGACACTGCCAGCACATCTAGAGGGGTTGTGGATGTGAAGCAAGAGCAGAAGCATCCTACTGTTCCATCCCAGGGGACAAAGGGCCTTTGGGAAAGAGCCCAGCAGCAGACAAAGGCATGCGACTCACCTGGAACTGGTACAGAGGGTAGTTCCCATAGAGGTATTCACATTTTCCATTCACCTGTAGGGTATAGTCCTCTGGGCTCTCCACAGTCTGGTGGCGGAAAACGGTAGCCTGCTTCTTGATGGCGTAGCTCATTAACGTGATGGGGTATTCCCTGGGGGAGATCTGGAAGGTGAAGCTCTCCTGCAGTCCCAAGAAAGCAACATAGGCACTCAGACACAGGCTCAGCAAGGGCTCAGCCCAGCACAGGAAACAGCAGCAACAAGAGTCAAGGACCCCAAGATGCAGAGGAAAGAGTAAAATACTGGGGATAGACCCAAAAATGCAGAGAAAGTCAGAGGAGCAGAGCATGGCTGCAGGCCAAAGCAGACTGGAGCAGTCATCTCATGTGACAAGCACAGGCCTAGGACCTAGGATCCTCTCAAGCCCTGTACCAGGGGCTGCCACCTCCATCCCTGGGTCCTTGGACAAGTCATTTCAAACCTCCTGTGGCCGTCTGCTGCAAGGGGGAATAAGGCTACTAAACAGGCCTGACTGCTGGGCAGGTGCTAAGCATTCTGGCTGGCTGCATCCAGGCTGAGCAGGCAGCTCCATGTCATGTCAAGGCACAACTTGACAAGATCAGAGTTAACAGAGCAGCAGCAGGTGGGAGCAAGAGGTTACCAGGTGCCCTGGGGGACAGAGACTAACACCTGGAAGCAGTGTATTTAGATCATGAGATCATCCACCTCTTTCAATCTGTTCCAGCAGCTACACATTTTGCAAACACACATATACAGGGGACCTTGGCTTGTGGGGCATGGGCAAAGCTGATCTGGGAAGGGTGTGGCTCCATCACCACCTGTTAGCTGTCAGCTCATACAGACTCCTTTCCAGCTATCCCCATCGATGGTAGCCCAAGCAGTCCAAACTGCTCCTGAACACACAGGGTTACTGCCTGCCCCTACCCCAGCACCTTCTCCCATGTTTTGGTTCCTGGATTAGGAGCCAGAATTGAGAGCAAAAGCACAGACAAGGAGTTCAAGGCTTTACCCCGCCAGACTCAAACATGACGTTGACAAAGATGTTCTTGTGGGGGACGTGCAGAGGGCTGGTCCCGAGGCCTTTGGCCAAGGGCTCCAGCTGCAAGGGAAAGCTGTACTCCATCCAGGCCATCCAGCTCAGCTGCTGCCGCTTCGCTGCCCTCTCCTCGCAGAACTGGCGCATTTTGGTGCGGAAGTCGCTCACCTCTGGGTCCGACACCGAGTCAAACTCGTGCAAACCTGAGCAGTGTGGTCAGAGAACAGATGCATGTAAGGACAACTGCACAGCCCGAGGGCAACCAGTCTCTATCAATCAGCTGTATGGGGAGATCAGACCCTCCACTCAGGGTCAGACTGATCACTATATTTGGGGTCAGGAAGGACTTTGGGTCACACTGGTATGGACTGTGGGGTTTTTGGCCTTCCTCTGTAGCAGGGTTCATTGCCTTTTACCTGGGATCTTTTGAATGTATACTAACAACCCTAAATAGAAGCAGAACATTGGCTGCCGTGGTCCCACTCCTTTACCTGTGGCAGGTTATGGTGTTATGTCTCATATTGCGACAGGGTTGACAGCAGTTTTACAAAGACTATGGATTGTATAGGGTGGTTTGGATAGGGGTGATCCTGCCTCAGCCAGGGAGTTGAACTAGATGTGACTTCTGGAGTCTTCCAGGCCTGCCTCTCTCTGATTCTGTGGAAACACCACTTCATACACAATAGAAACGCCCATAGCATCAGCTTCTGCTGGCTGCATGCTTACACCAGTCTGACATAGGGACTCCAGCTGGGAGACTGGGATGAGAGAAGAGGAGAGCCTGCCCCTTCCCCAGCCAATGCACACAGTGTTCCTCTATGTGGACTGCTGCTAGGGCTGAGGGTACGTAAGCTCCTCTAGGGACTAGCACCCTGGATGCTTCTGCCCCCAGTGAAAGCAACCTGCCCCCAATGCAAGGACTGGTGAGGCAAAAGGATGGGACTGACCTTTGCCAATGAGCAAGCTGATCTGGGAATTAATCAGCTTCTTGACCCGGTCACCTTCTCGTGCCACGAGCCGCAAGACAGGCAGGAAGGGCTGGATGTCGCAGAGACGCCGCTGCTCATCCTCCAGCTCCTGCTGCTCAGCCGTCTGATTGATGCAGGTGAAGACATAGGCCTCGGGATCATTGAGCATGTGATATAATGGTTCATACTGCGCATGCTGCCAGACCACCTGGAACAAACCAACAGCCAGGTGAGGCCATTGGCACACTGGCTGAACCACCGCACCCCTCCCAGCCCCTCCATTCATTGCCTCTCCTATATCCATGGCCTCCCCAGGAAGACAAGCCATTTTGCTGGCAGGTGCAGCCATTAGCTGGAATCTTGCTGTACCTTAATGCAAGTCCCTACCCTCAGAGACAGCATCCCAAGAAGTTCTGGACTCCACATCTGCACTGACACCCTTGGGTAGTGCCACAGTGCACTACAGTGGTGCATCTACACATGCACGTTAATGAATGTTAGCTTATTTTAATGCGCATAAAAGCCTCACTAAAAAAAAAGTGCTATTTAGTTAATGAATATTAAAATAGGCTGACACACATTAAGCATCACTAAAAAACATGTTCTTTAGTTAATGCACATTAAGACAGGCTAATGCTCATTTACCTAGTACTTCACAATGAAGGACATTTATACACATGCTCCAGGAGGCACAGGGTGAGAAGCGCTTTCATTGGCGCAGCTCCGAAAATCATGCTAATTAAAAGTGCCTGGAGTGTCATGTGTATTAGCGTCCCTGCACTGAAGAATGGCAGCAGGGCATTTTGAACTAAAACTCATCAAACAAGCTTTAGTTTAATGTGCCCTGCTGTCATTTTTCAGCGCAGGGACACTTATACACATGATGCTGGAGGCTGCTGAAGACTTGATCAATCGAGTCTGCTCTGAAGTGCTGGAATTCCAGCGTGTCAGAGCAGGCTCCCTGCACGAGTATAGAAGTGAGGGACTAGATTTAATGCACATTAACTAAAGCACATTAATGTACGTGTAGACACACCCAATGTGGGGCACTGCTCACTAGGTCTCTGAGCACAGGCTGGGCCATATCTGAGGCAACGTGGGTAGCAGCAACTATTGCTGACCTGGTTTATCTTCTGAGGTCTCTGGTCTCATGGAACCAGTTGCAAAGACCTAATTTTCAGCCTGACTTTAACCTGCCTGTCCTTTTTGTGCCCACAGTTTCTGATGCAATGCAGCTCTCTGTCTGCATATTTATATGACCCTCTGGCTTCACAATATCCAAATTCCTCAAAACAGCTTTGCCAAAGCCCGTTTCAATAGGCAAGTATTACTCAGGTGAGACGTATGGGAGATTGAGGGATTCTTCTGGGTCACACGGGAAGCCTGTTAAGTGAGCCAGGAATTGAGCCTGTAATTGAACCAGTGCCTCAGGTCTCTTGCGCTCCAACCCAGTTGGCTCCTCATGGGACCAGCTTTGCATCCCTGTAGATGTCATGTATTGAACTACTCAACTGCAAACATGCAGCTGGTAGCTTAACAACGAAAGGACATCCCCAGCTGTGCCTCCAATATTTTGGCCTGAAAACTGTGGCAGAGAAAGAACGTTGAATAAGTCTGGCTCCATACGTCTGTCTCTTGTGCTCCGTGAGTCATCTGGGCCAGGCTGCAACTGCAACATGAACCAGTTCCACTCCCTTTTTTCGCTTAGAAGAATGAAAAGGTGATTTCATTTTTTTTTTAAGCTCTCTTTCTTTCCAGCATTTTATTCCTGACATGAAACACAAAAATCCCTATCTTTGTGCTATTAAAAGTTACCTATCACCAGGACCTAGTTTCTGCTGGACAAAAGATAGCAAAGTCCAACTCCAGAGCACTTTGATTTAAGTCTGCATTTGTATCCAGCTACCTGGGGCTGACAGCTTTTGCTTCCATTTGTGCCCATAATGAAAGGTTTGGAACGGGGCAGGGGTGGGGGGTAGGTGGGGGGCTGGCAGTCCAAGTGAATGGACAGGGGCTAGGCAGTCTTCTCATGCTGGGCTTCTGATTCAAACACGGCCCTGCCAGTACTCAAAACCCAGTTACCATCCGAGCACTGTTGACTTGCTGACGTGAAATGAGTCAGCAACCTCATATACCTAGTGGAGTGATGCCCACATCACAACCGGCATCATCATCATGACGCTGTTGGTTGGCAGCCGGGTGAGGGTTTAATGGGCTGTAGAGCTCATGTCTAAGAGAAGGGTCCCTCCAGGTCAGAGGTGAGGCTGGAAAAGCCACATTGCCGCCTGCTCTCTGGACACGTGGGGCTGTGAATCCAGCTCCTTTCCCAAACATTGGGTGGAAAAAAGAAAAAGGCTCTGCCTATTTGTGAACACGCCCTTCGGAAAGCTGAATGCTGGCCATGAAGGGCTCCCGACCTAGATAACCCTCGCGGAAAAGGACCAGTACCTCCTTGATGGTGCCCAAGCTAGCATTGCACGACACCGGGAGGCTCAGGTAAATGCCCGTGGGCAGCAGAAAATCCACCTGGATGTTTTGGTTTTCCTCCTTGGACCAGAATTCCACGGGGCAGTAAATGCCTGGGAGCATCCTGCTCACTTCTTAGCTACCACCTGCAAGAAAGGAAGGGAGGGGGGAAACCGTCATTAATTGTGTCACAGGAACTCCCAGAGGCTCCAAGCAACATCAGGGCTGGGCACTGTACAAATACAGCGCACGCCCTGACAAGCCTATGGGCCAAGGAGGAAAAATCATTACCTCCTTTTTAAGCAGGGAGGCTGGAGCTTCCTGGCCCCAATCCAGGGCCTTAAACCATAAGGCCATCCTTGCTAAGGGATGTAAGGAAGGGGCTGCATTTATATTTCAAAGCTTTTCCTTAGTCATTTAATAGTACTTTACACTCCCACTGGACTTTCCACCTACGTGGCTGAGCTTCACTGAAGAATCACTACCCCCATTTGACAGGGGGGAGGGGGGCTGATGCACAGAGGCAGTGTGACTTATCCACCCAGCAAAGGGAACAGCAGAGAAGCAAACAGACCACAGGAGCCCCTGCCCCTGCAGACTGCACCTCCTCACCCTCCAGGTCGGTCTTCCCAAGCCCACTGCCAGGGTGCAGGAGAAGTCATAGAAGGGGCTGCTTCAAACTGCCTTTTTCAACTTGAAATTTTATAAATTCTATTTTTATAAAAAAAGCAGACGAGGGGTCCTCTCCACACAGGCACGTGGCTGGGATGGTTTTGGTGGCTCTGCTTGCCTCCTCCTTGCTGGAGTTCCCAGGGTTCAGGACAGCGAGACAGGGAGCGTCTAGGTGTTACCAAACCCCAAGCGTCACCTGGATGCTGAAGCTGGCAAACACATGCAGGAGAACCACTCGGCACTGACCTCCAGAAACCCAGACCGGGCAGGCAAACTCCACTATTTTCACCCATTTATCCAGCAGGAAATATCCACAAGAAGACACAGCTCTGATTCACTTTCTCTGCTGGGTCATGGTCTGATCATTGAGCCCAGGAGGAAAGCAGAGCCAGCAAAACCACCCCAGCCACTTGTCTGTGTGGAGAGGACCTCCTCTGCTCTTTTATAAAAATAAAATTTAGAATAAATTTATCAAATGTATCTGTATGGCTCAGTCTAGTCCCTAATGGACAGGAACCCATACCACAGCAGAGGTGGCCCTAACAAAGCCCCTTGCTGGCAGCTTCAGCACAGAAACCAAAGCCTGAATGAATCCCAGGGACCGAGCTTCTTCCAGGACAGGAGCAAGGTAGGGCGACAGTGCAGCATGGTGTTTTGGGTAAATCTGAGGCCTTTAGCTTCTGTCAATCCTTTCATCAGCTTTAACTTCAGCCTTGCACATGCCAGAAGCCACACAAGGGCTGCACTTCTTCACCCTCCCATCCCGCAGAACTGGTGCCAATTTTGCTCAGTTTACTATTCAACAACGGGTTTTACAGTTGCCTGAGACAGGATGAGTTTGAAGCAGCAAATCCCCCCTCAACTTTTTGTCCACAAGAGAAAGAGATAGGGTCCCAGGCTGCCAAGGCTTGGCAGACTCCCCACCCCGTCCCCAGCACACAGAGCCCTATCAAGCCACTCGGGAGCCAAACTTATGAATAAGCACGACAAAAGAAACACGCATCTTATCTGCCAGCCCCTTGGAGCAGAACATTTCCCCAGCAGTGGTGGAACAAGGATTCCCAGAAATGCGAGACATGTTTTATCTCTTCTGCTTCCTTACTGCACATGCTGTATCACACAGGGACCGGAAGCAGAGACCACAAGCCCACCCATGTGCTTTTAGAAGGAGGCTGGGAAGAAGCAGAGGGCAGAGCTTCAGTGTTTGACTGGGCCACAGGAATCCTGCCCATCTATCCAGTCACTACTGATGAGATCAGCAAACTCCCAAGGTACCATTCCTCCAAAGTCAAAAGAAAGCAGCATTGGACCAAGGGGGTGCCAGCACTCACCAGTGATGGACCAGCAGGTACCTTCCTCAACTGGGATTTAATATCAGATACAGCATCCTGGAAGGGACTGCTCTGGGATTCAGGCTGCAGGTGTGTAATGCTGCTCTTAGGTTCCCTAGTGCCACAAGTCCCAGGAGGAGTGACTCAACCTTTTGCTCTCCCAGAGTGGAGAAATGGAGCACTGTGTAGGAATTTTTAAGACAAAGTCTTAAATACGAGCTCTCCACAGACTACCCCAACCCTATGAGCCTCTGAAAGAGTAAGCCTGGAGGAAGACAGCATCACTTAGAGCCTCCCCTTTGCCACAGTGGGGCTGGTCTGTCCTTTTGTTGGTGCCACACTGGCCTTGCACGTGATGCTCAATCATTGCCGCTCTTCGTGGGACTGCTCCATTAATGTAGATGCTGAGTTCAGCACCAGCTCCTTGGCTCACTCGTTTGAGCTGCCCAGATCAGGTCGCACTTGCCCTGCCTGCACTCTCTCTGAGGAGGTGGACAGACTCTAACACTGCTGACATCTAAAGCCCTAGCTCTGATCTACTTCTTCACCTTCTAGGGATACAGGGAGCGGGGTCTGACATCCCAGGGGCTAGCTGCTGCAAATGATCTGAACCCACAATGGCAGATGCCAGTGTGCCAAAGCAGTGCTCAGACACAACGGTGGTCAGAGAGATCTTAGAACACGCACAGAGCAGAACGAGCCCAGAAGGCGCCCAGGCTTTCGATGCAGTGCAAAATCCATTTGCCCTCAGCGTCTTCCCCTCCTCGTTTTAAACCGGGACCTTAAATATTCACCCCACTCCCCAGTTCCCAAGGTTCCCCCTGAACTCACTGCTCTCCCTCCCCAGCTCCCAACTCTTGCCCTTCCCGTAACGCCCCACAGCCATTCACTATTAGTTGAGTTTGAAAAGAGTTGGTTTATATTCTGGCCAGGCTCACAGCAACACCATGCAGCACCCAAAAGCACATCACCTACACCCCTTCAGCAGCAGAACATGGGCAGGTGCCTTGGGCAAGAACCCACCCTCTGCCCAACACAGGGTGTCCCCTGAGGTCCCAATCCACCGCTTATGGCACCATGACCCGAGCATCTTAGTGCCTTGCGATCATCGATATACTTAGCGCTTCCTCCTGCATGGGGTATTATCTTCAAGTTATGAATGGGGCCTGAAACCTGAGAGAATCAGTGACTTGTCCAGGGCTCCAAAGAAAATCTGGGGCAAAGGAGGGATTTAAACCCAGGTTTCTAGAGTGCAGAAGTAGTGTCCTAGCCACTAAGCCATGTCTCACCAGATTAAGAGCATTTGTACAGGCCCTAGACACGACCTAGCAGCACAGAAAGCAAAACATAGGCTACATGCCCTTGGTCACAACATGCCACCAATACAGAAGCGGTCTCTGATACTTGCTCATTCCCCCTGGGGAGAAACCTTCCTCCTCGCCAGTCTGTCCATGAGGTCTAACCTGGAAACAGCACAACAGTGCCCTTTTGCTGCACATGTGACGATTGAGAAAGGCCACCTTGGAGACTGCATCTCAAGGGCTCTGCTGTGCTTTTCCACGTGGCGTGAAGCAGTAGCTGCCATGTGGAAGGGGTGCTGGGACCCAATAGCTAGCAGCTGCTCCTTTCTGAACACTGCAAGTACCACTGGGTGTGTGAAAACGAGGAGGAAGAAAAGATGTTTTGCTCAAAATGCATTGCTCACTTCCTGAGACGGGGCAGGGCTCCTACCACCCTAAGGTCAGAACCACCCCGTCCTTATCTACCCCAAGAATAACGGAAATTGGAAGCTACTCTCGTCTGATGGGGAGCACGCCTGCTTGATGAGCACCACAACCAGGGCTAACAGGGAGACCTGGGGAGCGACTATGAACAGCAAGCGGGAGACCCCATCCACATCAGGAGACAGCCAGGTCCTTGCTAGACTCTCTGCAAGACGGTTACTGCCCACGACCACATCCTCTTATGCCAGCAAAGATATCTCTTGAGACCTGAAAAGCAAACAAGTTCTTGAACTACGAGGCATGTCAGAGCCCTGGATCCCCCCAGGGGCAACAGAGGAAGAGAAATGAATAGTGCTGCATAAAGCAGCCTGTCTTATAGCATCAGGCAGTCAAACGAGAGCAACATTTTATAACGTGCTTAGCACAAACTGAGTTGAATTGAGTGAGGAGTTTGGTTTAATTCCCACCCTGTGGCGATGGCACTTTTTAAACTTGCTTTCCACGGAAATTGCCGCCCTGGTGAATATTTGTATTAGGAAAAGCAACAAAACGAAGCAGACTGACTTTTCTTCCCCAGCTGCTGGCTCAAAACTTGCCCAGGGCTCAACACAAATGGGGAAGAGCTGACAGCTGCTGGTTAATTTCTCCGTAAATTAAGTGATTTCATTTCAGTGTGCTTCCTACCGAAGAGACGGGTCTCCCAAGCCTCCACCCTTGGCACTAATGACCCTCTTGCTGGAACCATCATCAGTCTCTGATCCTATCTTCAAACGCCTGGGCCCTCTCGTTATTAGGAAAAGAGAACACAGTCTTTCCTGGTGGCCACTACCACGAGATGAGCTCACAAGGATGGCAGGGCAGTTTGTAATTTTAACACAAGGTGGCAGGCTTTTCCCCTGCAAATGCCTGGAAAAGTTACAAACCACTCTACTTTCTCTATCATGACACCTGGCATTAATGATGGCCGCGTAAAAACACATCTAGGCACAGGCAAGAAGCGGAGCGTACCCAGCTAGAGCCAAAGCGTACTAGCGGCTAGTCCGTGAACAGGTATATTGTGGCAACGCTTACAAAATAACCTTATCCGTGGCCCTGCTCCGCATATAGGTTATAATGGAAACAGCCACGTACCGAATTTGATGTATGCCTTGGCGGAGGGTGGAATCGCACACAAAGCTTGTTTTTATGCAGTCCATCACATTCACATGCTCAAGTTACCCAAGTCGCTACTTAAGAAGTCAGACAGTTTATACCAGAGGGGGGGGAAAAAAAAAAAAAAAAGAAGAAAAACCACACACCCACCATCTTCTCCTATAAGGTTTATCAACCACAACTTCAGTGTTTACAACATGCAATTTCTGTGAACAAAAAAACAAACAAAAAAAAGAGAGATCAC